AACTACAGAAATAAGACGTGTTGTGGTGTACCCGGTCTACTAAATGGGACAGGAGCTGACTGTTTGATTGAAGACGGTGGTGGAAAAGCAGGAGCTATCGCTGGATATTTTGCTGAGGTCCTTACGCAGAAATCTTCTGTGGACACTCGTTCAACAGTAAAAACATCGACATCCAACAGAGTAAACTCAGCGAAGGTACACTCCCCTGTGGCTGGGAACATGCCGTAGTCACACCTACCTACCTGGCAGGTTCTAGCTGGCGCCCGTCAAATTAATGACTGACAAGGTTGACCAGTACTATGGCAAAAATCCCGGAAGGAGTGGTCAGGAAAGCCATCACGGTCCACTTAAAGGGCAACATTATTGTTTCGTTCGCAGCGTGGCTTTCGCAGGAATTTTCCTCCCTTGATGAACCCCTTTACAGTCAGAGACAATTCGGTTAGGTCTAAGGATGATAGTATACCTGCAGATGTCATTTTCATGGACCTTAATAGGACGTTCGACAAGGCATCTCATTCCAGGAAAGTTTCGCAATCACTGGCAGTTTGCTTGCATGGATAGGATAGTTCCTCATTAGTAGAAGACAAAGAGTAAGGATCAGTTCACAACCCTCCTCTTGGAAGTCGGTAGAGGGTGAGGCGCCGAAAGGTGCAGTTATGGATTCCCTCCAATATCCAATATTGATGGTGCGAGCGTAGAAAACTGATGGCTTTTGATCCCTCATATTTAATTCTTAGGGCTTGTTTTTAGTTATTTGGTTCACTGCTGCTGTGGACGAGGAAACCCCCTCTGCTTTCTTGCTTTTAGCTTCGGTGGGGCTGATGTTTCGCTGGTTAGTAAGTGGTAATTTGTAGAGTGATTGGGGAGCCGCGGGTTGCTGGAACGTTTAGGGGGCTGCCGTGGCCCCTGTGTGCGTAGTTACCTGAAAGGGAATAATAAGGTAGTGGTAAAAGAAAGAAGAAGAAAAAGAAAACACTGGAAAAGAAAAAGGAAAAGGAGAAGAAAAGGTGGAGTGAACAGGAGAAATGAAGGAGAGGAAATAGTATGTGGGAATCGCCCGAATGGTTGCGCAGGTTTAGTCCCTACAGATGAATTACTTGGTAACGTGGGCATATTAAGGAGGGTAGCAGTGAGTGGTAGGTAGGAAGTTGGGGGCTAGTGAGGTTAGTGACTACTTGAGTACGTCCATGGTGGACCATGCGAGGTGACATAACTGTTTAAACGTCTTTTAAATGAGTCGACTGAAGGAGCTATAACGACATGCCGCGGTAAGGCATTCCACAAGCACATACTCTTAGGGAGAAAAAATTGGACCTAAGTATGGGATTGGCTCTCTGGCGCGCCATCTTAATGGGGTTTCCTCGTGTAGGCCGCAGAGTTACAGACAAGGCAAATTTGATTGCGTGATCTGCCTGATGGGCGATCTCGTATGCCACAATAAGTTCATCCCCTTCCTGCGATAATCCAAGGTAAGTAGGTATAGGTGTTTAAGCCTTTCAGGATACGTCTTCCTCCCTAGCCCCACAACTGATTTTGTTGTAGTTCTTTGCAGTTGTTCAAGGAGATTAGAGTCTCTCTTGAGTGTTGGGGAGGGGCACCGCATTAAAGACCTCTAGATGCGGCAGCACGTAGGATTTGAAAATGGTGAGGAAGAGTTCGGGAGTGAGGGCGCAAAGCTGTTTACGCTAAAAGTGTAGGATGGCGTTCACCCTGGTTGTCACACTTTTTTAGTTGGGGCTGGTGTCCAAGGTGTTGGAGAAGTTGAGCCCCAAATCTTTCTCCATGGACACTCTGGTGATAGCACGGTTGCTCAACATGTACTGGAAGTCGGTCGCACTTGCTTCATACTTACTAATGTGCATTACTTTACCGTTTTCCAGGTTGAAGCTCAAGCCATTTTCCGATGGCCAGAGTTCAGGTTACCGCAGGTCGTTTTGTAGAGCTGTACAGTCAACTTCTTCGTCTAGCACCCTCCAAATTGTAATACCATCAGCGAAGAGGAGGATGGGTGAGGATATTTTGTCTGTCAGATCATTGGCAAACAGGAGGAGCGGAGGCGGTCCTAGGATTGCTCCTTGGGATACTCCTGGCGTCGAGGGTCTCCACCCCGACCTTATTCTGTTTACTTTAGTGTAGAACTGCCTCCCTTCCAGGTACTCCTCGAACCAAGAGAGTAGGGGTCCACTTACAACAACTGACACGATCTTGTGGAGCAGGGCTGTGGGTGGAACACTGTCAAATGCTTTGGCTAGGTCCAGAAATACAACATGTACCGGTTTCCTGTCATCCAGGCTTCCTGTCCAGCCGCCCCAGGCGGTTAATAAGTTGGTGGAACACTAGCGACCACCCCGAAAGCCATGCTGAGCAGTATGGACAGTGTTTTCCCTACTGAGGAATTCCCAGATAGTGTCAGCTACCAGGCTTTCCAACGCTCTCGATACAGTAGGGGGAGAGCAATTGGCCTGTAGCTGCCAGGGCTTTTTCTGTCTCCCCCCTTGAAGATGGGTGACATGATGGTGCTCTTCCATTCTTTAGGGGGTTTGCACGATTCTACTGAGTGCTCAAAAAGGTTGCGAAGTGGTTTAGTAAGCACCTCGGTGCAGTTTTTTAGAACCGCTGGTTTTAGTTCATCGCAGCCAGGGGACTTGCCTGGACGTAGCCTAGATAGTTTCTCGAACGCTTTTCATCTAATTGAGATGCGACAGAGGTATTCGTTATTTACGACCTGGTCGGTGTTGTAACGAGTCGGTGTGCATTTTGTGTCAGTGCTAAGTTTGGCTTGGAAGTGTGAGCTCAGAGGCTCGGCAATCTCTGGACTGCCTAGTACACCCCCATCACTCCCTGTGACAAGATTCACTCCCTGGTCGACTTTCTTCTCGACATGAAGCGGTGCACGTTTTTGGGATTGCTTTGTAGCCTCTCCGCCCGGTTTGTTTGATAAGGAAATCTGTAGCTACGCCCTCTAATGCTACAGCGGTTGCGAATCCTTCTGTAGTCCAAGAAGTCTCTCCCTGCGTGATGTACACCACTTGAACCAAGCCTGCTTCCTGCTCTGGATAAGCCTCTCTGTCCCAAGCTCCAACCATGAGGTTCTCACTGATTGTCTGTGTGTTACCTCTGGTACACTGTGACTGGTGGCCCCAGTGATTAGTTTCTTCACCTCCAATCAGTGTTCATCTATTGTGAGATGAGTCCGATCCACCGGTCACGACGCATTCATGAAATAGCCCCTCATGGTCTCATAGTTGGCCTTGCTGTAGCAAGGGAAGGTGTTGGGCGTCTCTAATTGCAGAGCCTCCCTAGTTATCATGGAGAAGGTTATTACTGCGCGGTCACTGAGGCCAAGGGGAGGTTGGAGGCAAACGTCCTCAGCGAGGAGTTCATCGTTCGTCAGAACGTAGTCAAGGCGCGATGTGTTTCCACTGGGTCCCCAGCGTATGGCATCACCCACTTTCTCTGAGAGGCCAGCAGTCTTAATCGCATTCTTCGGCTTGTGATTCAGGGATTTGATGCGTCTCCCTTTTGTCCCGGGGGGATGGACGGGGTATCGAAGTCGCCGGTAATGACTGCGGAATCGTAATTCGCAGAGGAAGCCGTTAAGATCGCCTTGGTGACCATTTCCTCATGTGTAAGGGGGGCTGGTGGGGGACCGATATATGGCTCCAGGCAGGTAGTTGGTACAGTGGAGAGTGAAGTGGCACCATAGATTCTGGGAGCTGGGTTAGGGTGGTATCGCTAACCACCCTTGCCTTTAAACGAGAGCTTGCGTAGAGAGCCACTCCCCCTACTGTTGTCAGCTCTGTCCCTGCGGAAGAGTTTCATGCCAGTAACATGCATCTGTTCGTCAGAGATGTCCGGGAAGAGCCAGGATTCGGTGATAAATATGATGTTAGAGTGCTTATGTGCACGCAGCGTCCTCATTTCTGCTACTTTCCCCCTTAACCCCCTAACGTTGCTGCACGCACATGTTGGAGCGCCCATGGTGAGAGGGGAGGGCTGGCTGTGCATTTGCGCTACAGAAGGGCTCACGTGGTTGGGTCTAGCGCCGCCTGTTCATCCTAGGGCTGGCATCGTTCCGTTTCTCACGTTCTATTTTCAGCTTGGGTGGGGGCTGCGGCAGTGGAAGCTTCTTTACTCGACGTATCCGGCTCCTACACATAAATGATTCGCCGAACAGCATGTGATTCCCCATGGCTCTCTGCGCTGATATAAGAATCTGGGGGGAAATCAAGGACGGCGAAGATACACCTGAATAGCTTGTTCAACTGATCAGAGAAATGATTGATAACGCAGGTAGATATGCGCCCATACACGTGGGGCATGCAAGTGGGAACATACACGATATTGGCGAGACTTATCTATCTTCGGTACTGACTTAGGAGTCACACTGAGCTGTGATTTAAAGAGCATGGAACACTGTCAATCTGTCACAGTTCGGAGCCTTAGGACCTTCCGTGAAGGGTTCAGAGGGGCGTTACTCGTATCATCTCCCTGATGGCTGGCCTGACTTATGTAGGTCGACTTAAGGAACTGAACCATTTCTCTTTATCAAGTCACGGACAGATATCTAATCATTCTATGCAGGATTCTACGAAATGATTTTGGATCTGGCCTATCTTCTCTTTTCCCACCCAATAGGTCGGGATGCCTCAGAGGACATAGCAGCAGAGTAAATAAGCAAAGGACGAACATACTCTGCGACTACTGAATCTCACGTTGAGTAATCAGCCCCACGAACCAACTTTTAGAAGAAGTGGTATTCACATCATTGGTTGACTCGTTCAAAATAGGATTATTGTCGTAGGCTCAGGGCTTTCTATTCTCAAACAACAAATATGAGTCTGAATCCCCAATGGTTAAACTCAGAATACAGAAAGGACTTTCTCGCCCACCAAAAATGTATCAGGTAAAAAAATTTAGTGTTAGTCTCAAGAGTTCATGACTGTCAGCTTTTTATATGCACTTGAAACATATTCGGAATGCATTTGTTTAACCACATCAATTTATTAAGTACTAGTGCAGCCAGCGTCTACGCATAGTTAAATGGATGCCACCAAAACGGAATAAAACAAAGAATACAGAAAGGAAGCTTGAAAAGATTGAGAAACTAACACCAAAAGAGGCTGTTTTGGATTATCAGATTGGTAACTTAAGGGTCTCTATATCTAGACTAAAATTCAAGAGGGAAACATTACGAAATGCTCTTATAGAAAAACTACAAATCCTCTCCACACTTAAAATGGAAGGAGAAAATTTAATCAAGGAAACTTCCTCAAAAATTCTTAATTCTTCAGCTGCACAGGAGTCAAGTGTTTCAAGTGATGTTACGAAAACCTATCTTCTTGAGACTTGGAAAATCAGAGATGAAAAAGAAAAAGAAGTTAAAGAAGTTGAAGAGGAAATTAGACTTACACAGTCCCTTACAAAAGATGTAATATTAGAGCTAAGGCAGTGGCAAACATATGCGGATAATACCAAGAGACTTAACGACACACGCATTCAAATGCTCGAAAAGGAATATAACAACATGAAGAAGCGTTTTCAGTCAATGATTGAACATCTTACTGATATGAGGAATCGTAGTGATCAAGATTTACACACAAAAATTGAAAATGCTTCAGAGAGTATCAGGAATTCTGCAGTAGAAAATATGGTTAACACGATAAACAAGACATTTTCTCATCAAATGCTTCAAAACAAATTCCTTAAGATAGAGAATAAATCACTTGCTGATAGAATTGAACAAATTTCTAGTGAGGTTAGTGAACTTCAAGAAGATAACTTACTGGCTGTGAGAGAGATCTTTGAAACTAAATTGCCACATGTTCTCTTACCATTATCCTTTAGCGACAACCAAGTGACTGAAGCAGATGACTTGCACACTAGTAAAATTCTTGACCTAGGAATGAGTCAGAAACTTTTTGACTTCAAAGGTCAACATGGTAAGTTGATAAATTTTAAGATGGTTTCTTTTTGTCAGAGTCTTCCTGTGAAAATGATGCACATGGATTTCTAGAAAACAGGAAATATCGAAATGTTGCGAACCAAGAAAAGTATGAATCTGACAGTGGTGTGCAAGAAAGATTGAATGTATTCCACTATGCAAGTCAAAATATTGCCTCAGAAATACCGATGAAATTTCAGACAGATATAGCAGAGTATTTTACAGCTCTTGGACCACTTGAACAACAAGCTATCTTTCTGCAGGGGTTATCTGCAAAGATTGATAGGCAGAAGAATTTCAACTCCCCTAAAACACTAGCTCATCTCAAATTTAATCCAGATATTGAAAACTGGCCTATTGATAGAAATATGCTACTAGAATGCTTATTAAGAAACAGATAAAATACAAGTTTAAAGGTTTTATATAAACTAAAGAGATTCTAATCAAGACAAATTCTAGCCATTATAAGTTATCTGAGTCCTTACAAAATTTCCTCCATATTTTCAAAGCTAATAAAAAGAGATTTGTTTTATTAATGAAGAGTTAATCATCCTCCTGCACAAATTATTTTACAATAAATCCTTAGACTTGTGAGTCGCATCCATATAGGGCTCTACGAACAGTATTTGTAATGTAACTGTGTTTTTAATGTCTGCACCATTTTTCTCAAAATCACCTTTATCATTTTCAAATCTTGTTATAAAGCATAACCAGACGATATACCATTGAAGAAAGTAATTTTAATAATTAATTTGTTATGAATAAAATTGTGATAAAATCACAAACAATGACCACTTTTTATTGTTCCGTTGAGATATTCTCCAAACTATGACCTATTTTTTCGTGTATTCTTCCTCTCAAGACTTACCTACCATGAATTGATGCATTTTTTGAAATTATGACCTATCCTAAGGCATTTCTTTTTAGGCCTGCTGCTCAAAAAGAAATTTTATAGTTGAATTATTGTATTCTTTTAAATACATTTTGTATGGTATCACAATAAAGACATAGCATGGTGTCGAACTCAAGTCTCAAGCCGTTCCTCAGATAAATTCGTTTCCATGGTTTGTTGTTAAAGTGATAGAAACAGTTGACTATGCAAGACAGCTGTTGTCTAACACTTTGTTTTCTCAGTATAAAAGCGAAATACACTTCTTCACTGCTAGACTGTCGGAAATAATCACTGACAGCATCCTGTTAATCTTTCATTGTTTTCATATGGATAATGATGGGATGTATGACAACCGTATAGATTCATCAAGTCAGAAACATTTCACTTCCTATTAAACTTAGTATACGGATGACTTCATGGAGGAGAGAATTTTATATAAAGGTATTTGTACCTTGAAGTTTAAGTGGATTTTATTTTAAAGGTACTATTCACCACGGAAAGCCTACCCGTGGGCACTGAATAACTGTTTTGTCCGAGTACGAAACTCCTCAGCAGTACGACATTGAATAAAGGTCGTGTCATGTTGTGAAATGATGGAATTAGGAGACTATGAACCACAGAAATTCAACCCACTGGTTGAATGGTTAACGCTTTCACCTAAAAGTCTTGAGTTCGATCCCTGACAAGGTGACATCGTGAGTGCGTACTGCCGAGTAGTCGGATACTAGGATGAAACAGTTGTTCAATTCTCAATCTTTCTGTAACTGATATAAGTTCGTAATGAATACAACCTTAGAAAAGTGTCTTTCTAGGGGGATTTACGTGGTACAAAACACTCAGTTCTGTTTTATTTGTCAGATGTCTCACATACTTAAACATTATTACTTTCCACAGAGCTTGATATGAATATGAGCAGTATTTTGTATCCGATGCACTATCCAATGAATAATACAGTTTCAGACCATATGACACATCTGATACACATACTGACATGGGGTTACAACCTATCCAACTACTTAATCTTATTCTCATATCACCCAGAACTTGTCTGTAAGTCATATCATTTCAGTTTTGTTCCCAAAGGAATGTGAAGAAATAAATAATGGTGTAATAACACCACACTATCATGGCTTAGCGGTCAGAAATGGTTGAGTTTAAAGTTTGAGGAATGTTGTTTATCCAATAAGTAAATGAAATGATTTAGATCTGTAAGGAGTATATCATTAAGAGAATAGTAGATGCTATCGTATGGAAAGTGTAGAGTATTATACACAGTTAATCCGGATAATTTTCAGCAAAATATCAATCTTGGAACCTTTTGCTGATACATGACTGTGTTGTTCTTGATATATTAGCGTTTGTTGTTAAAACTCTAGGATTTTTATGCAACTACATGCCACACGTTAGTATATATATATATATATATATATAAAGCTATTTACAGGAATTATTTCACAGGTGGTTCAGTAATGGGAATTTCAACAGGGCACGCCTCTGTGGAAACTAAATAAACAAGTAGTTATTGGTTCAAACGTCTGATAATGTTACACATTGTGCTAATCGCTACTTTATTGATGTCACGAGTATGAAATTTCCATGATCAACAACATCTTTTTCTATTCCTCATATCTGACGTACTGTTTTGCAAGACTATTCGCCCTTGACTTGAAAAAATAGTGAAGTTTATACCACACTGAAACGATTAATGACATGGGCTTCATTTTTCACACAAACATAAGATATCTGACTTCCTAGATTACTCCTTACCCCTTCTGTGTTGACAATCGTGAACTTCCTTCCTTTGATGTGTGCCTGGTCAAACTCCCCTAGCAACTGTACCAATAAGTGAGTTTGGCGGTTTACAAACCCGTGATCCAATGGTTAATATATATCTCCCTAAACCACCAGGCCACAAACTCACCATGGCAGTCAATTGTTATTATTTATCCTTTGCGTACCTAGTGGAACATAGGGCTTCAGTAGCACATTGCCATTCCACTCTCTTCCCTGCAGTCTTTTCAACCTGGCTCTACGAGTGCCCATGAGCTTTCATTTCTTCCTCCATGTCATCCTCGAACGTCCAACTAACTCGTCGTCTCCCATTTGGGTTTCAAATGGTCTTCTCAGTGCATACCCAGTCCAATCAATCTACACTTTGTTCTTCTACATATTTGTTGGATGATAGGTTCTTGGTTCGTTGCCAGCAAGCTAGGGTTCCTTGTTGCTTATTCTTGTTATTCTGGCCATCCATCTGATCTCCATCTTCAGCATCGAGTGGGCGTAGGTGGCAGCTGTTGACGTATGATGTCTGTAGTTTGTTGGAAATGCTTTTCGCAACGCACCAAGTCTATCAACCATCACATAGAAGCACTGAAAATCTGGATCTTGTTCACACTTTATGCTAAGTACAGTAGATTTCTACACTGATTTCAGATTAATGAAGGAAGACTTGTCTTGATATCTTTCCGATCCTGGCTATGACATCCTCATCTGTGCTGCCACCTGTAGTTGAGACGATGTTGACAGCTACTTCAGATATTGTCACCATACTTTCAGTTTAGTCTCAACAATATGAACACTTAAGACCTTTGAAACCCTTTTAATGCATAATCTATGCCAAGAATTGAGAAAAAAGCGAGATTTTGTAACTTCATTTAGCTTACTAATTATAATGAATGCACCGGCATAATCCACCTTTCAGCTAACTAGAACGACGATTTGATATTCAAAGCTATGTGAAATATCGCTCATTACCTAGTGTAGCAAACGATAAGATGGAGACTAGGAAAGGAAGGAAATCTTATTATTGGCATTATGTACAGTAGTCATTAAATATTAGACACCTTCCTTTAAGACAGTCATTTACATAATATGCTTCATTTCCTTTTCTGCTTTTATCTCCACTTGCTCTTTATACACCCACATTGTTTCTTGCTTTTCTCTGGGTAAAATCCTTACCCATTGCTGGTAATTCCCTATGAATGTTATCGCCTTCCCAACATATACTACTTATATCCATTCAAATCAGCAACACCAACTACACTAGGAACCTGTAAAAAAAGTTGAAGTGTTTACCTTTGAGATATCATCACCATGTAAAATGATTTTTGTGCGGCTCAGTTCATCAGATCTGCAAGCGAAAATGTCACATACATTTTCCATCGTTTTTTAAATGTCCCGTTAAGCAAAGGAGATAGATATATTATATATAATAGTGTACGATAAGGAATAGAGAGGATAGAATTCATGGTGAAACTGTCAACTACTCTTCTTTCGTATTCAAGTAATCGCCATATTCTGTATTCTGTATGTCCATTCTGATCAGCAACCTCCACTACAGTTCTACATATGACATACAGACATTAACTAACAATGGTCCTAAAGGACTCCTCATAGAGACACCATCAACTTGTCGAAAATGTTCATCTTCGAAAGTGAAATAAACCTTATCGGTGGATAATAATGTTAGCTGTGTCAAATATTTTGGATGGATGGGAGAAGAAGGAATATTCAATGGGTAAATCATTACAAAGACGGTAAGGCATGTTAGTGAATGAAGAGTTTACATTAAAAGAATACATTGTCTTATCTTTGATATTATTGTCATTTATATGGTGAATAAGTTGAAAAGTATCGTTTAATAAAGAGTCACATAACTGGTTTCTAACTGTACTTAAACCTGCCTACCTACTTCACCTCATTTTAATGTCAAGTAAGGTGTGGAAATGTGTGTTATTATGCCTTATCTTAATTTGTATTTTAACTGTCTGATATAGTAGGTATAGTTTGATGGACTAGTATTTCTACTGGATGAAGGTGAAATAAAAATGTATACGACGACCGGACTCGAACCAGCGATTATCAGGTTCCGGACACGATGCTCTACCAATTGATATCCACTTCAACTTCATCTTTCACCGCTGTAAGTATAAATAATCCATCAGAAGAAATCAATCATGATTACTTATGTTTAGTACAGTAGAAGATATTTTATAAAATTCTACTATTCAAGTAGAACAACACCGCATCTGTGTTAAGAAGAACGCTAACTGTAGCCCACAACTCGTCTATAAACGGTACAGGAACGACATGTTTATAACCGTCGATATAGCCGTGAACAAAACATAATTAGTATGTTGTGGATGACTAATACGGTACTTAAAGTGTCACTAAACACTTGCAAATTTAATGTAGTCGTATTTTAGTGTTATTGCTTGTATTACACTGTAGTTGACTGGACCGAATCGATCGGTAATTACTGACATATGGGCTCCTGTGCGGATGTCTCCATAAAGCCTATTTTTTTAATTATATTGTAATGGTGGATAGTGGCTAGCAATATATGACGACTACTGTACATGATGTCAATAAAAAACATTCCTTCCTTCGCCTCTATCTTCGCGTTCCCTATACTACAGGCTTAATGGAGGTATCCGCACAGAAGCCCATATGCCAACAAAGACCGATCAATTAGGTTCAATCAACGATGGTACAGTACAAGCAATAACACTAAACCTACACCCGTCTCACAAGATGTGGCTATCGTGACTCGGTGATCTAGTGGATAACGCTCTGGCATTTGGAGTGATCGGTCGCGAGTTCGAATCCTGGTGGGAACAACATCTCCCACTGGCAGGTACACCCAGCTGACGAGTCCCAAATAAGACGAAATGTGCATCCTGTATTCCACTGCCAGCCAGTATCCATCATTACTATGTAGTCATGTTTATTTGACATCATATTCGCAGACACTGAAACACCTGGATCTCAAATTCAGACTATATCTAATGGAATGTATATTAAAATATAGTTACACAGCTTATATCCAACAGGTTTATTCATAAAGGCAAAGTGTTATATCTCTGGCTTGACGATTGGACTGTTATTAAT